CTACCCTACCCCCTTCCTTTACAAAGGATGCACTTTTGAATAATATAGTAACTAAGAGAGATCTTCAAAAATTCATCAAAATATATGACAGAAAATGAATAAAATCCTTGTAATTCTCTTCTAAAATTACTGACAGATAAAAAATGAAAGTAGAAAGTAAAAAATATACATGGTATATTAATTACATCAGACATATTTGTACGTACTATTAAATAAACTGGCTATCTTAGAAAAAAATAACTGTGTATAAACTTATTTACAAATAAGAACAATTGCCTCACATGTTAAAATTATAATCCACAAATATGCTGACTTAAAAAAGTAAAGAAGTACAGTTTCTAACAGAGTCAGTTTCCATAAATACTTTTCATTACTTTAAAAGCGAGCACAAGGTTTCCATGTATAAAATGATCATATACAGGCATCCATTTGAGAACACTTAAACATTTCTTTCACGTTCAAAATATTCTGGCGGTCCTTTTCTGTAATCTAAAAAGTCTATTAATAAACCTCTACCTCTTGTTTTTGGCTGAAAACCAAACAGTGCAACAATAGTTAAAATGGGGAAAAATAACAGTGTTGTAAACTTTAAGCAATGCTGCCCTTTGTATAAAATGTTGTAAACGGCGTAAAGTATATATTTTTGTGAAAGTTTCTTATATTAAGAATTAATATGTACAGACCAGGTAAGACATTCATCTATATATTCGTACACCAAGTAGTTTAGCACTTCTTTTAACAGTCTCTAAAACAACATCACCAACTTTTATAAACAATTTTCTACATTTTGAGAGCTTTTGTGCAGTACCAATCAACATACATTGTGTTTTCTTTAAGTTCATCGTAAACATATTACTTTCCATCCATTTGACAGAATTTAAAAGATCATTGTGCAATCTTTGTTCAATAACATCAATAGATTTAAGTGAAAAATCCTGTAAAGTATCATCTGCATAAATATTGACATTTGAGTGCTTCAAACATTTTGTACAATCATTTACAAATAAAATACATAATAAAGGCGCTGACATAGATCCCCGTGGCACTCCTAATGTAACATCTTTTTCATCAAACAAGACACTTTTCCATCTAACATATTGTGATCCTCCACTTAAATAAGTCTGAAACCAGTGAAAAGATGTTGACAAATGCCATGTGACAAAACTTTGTGCAACAATACTACATGAATTACAGTGTCCAAGGCTAAGATCGATAAAAAGAACACCAGTTAAAATGGCATTATCTATATTGTTTAAATGACAATACGGCGCATCTCTTCAAAAACAGACTTGTTAAAATTTTCCTATAGGATTTGGATACACTTTCAGAAAATTACAAATTTCACGAGTAAACAATTATGATTGTTTCATTAAAATTAATAATTATTTATGGCCTATAAATACATACATCGCAACGTTTTCGATGTTCCACATTCCATGCTATATGCATGCTAAACGCGCATGCGTATAGTTTTCATAAACAATACAGCATGGTAAGAGAGGAAGCCCGGTAGGCCTGCTACATTGACAAAGTCAACCAAAACAAAAAACAAAACCAAAAATAGGGCTTAAAATTTAAAAGCAACTTTCCTGACAAAAATTTAGTTGGGAGATTAATATAATCATTGGATGAAGAAGAAACGGGATCTCGGCGACATGCAAGGGGGGCTCGCGAAGGACTTCTCCCTACAGGTTTGTTGATACATGCTATCATTTATCGTATCTCCATGGCTAACAAAGAAAAAAAATCAATGTAAACTCAACGTTAAAATGCACTTATGACATATAAAAATTATTGCCATTTGAAGTGCAAATTGTATTGGAACTGCAGAAAGATATTTTGTCTGACATTTTGCCACAGTGACGTATGATTTGGTGCATTTTCCTTTCCTGCACCCCAATACACAAAACGTCAACATTTGTACTTAATCATGTTAAATTAGTCTGAATGCAGACTAATATGTTAACTATTATTAATTTACCGGAGAGTTAAGATATTTTCATTCTCAGAATTGCTTTTACTTAGTATTCCATTATAATTGTAAACCCTACATAGTATGCCGTGTCATTTTAGAATTCACGTGGTACAAGTAAACAAATCTAACTTGAACGACCCTTGATTTTCCGGCAGATTCTTATTGCGTTAATTTTGTATGAGGACGGAATATTTATTTTTCTCAAATGCTTACTTAAACTTTTTACCTTATTCCTGAATGATATATTGGGTAAATTTGAATGAAAAAGCACACGATTTGCAGCCGTATTGCCGCTTTAACCATTTATCAATAATTTATGAAAAGCCGCTTCACGTTAATACTCTGGCCTAAAACCAGATTGAAGTTCAGTTAACAGATTATTATTATTCAAATACTCTTAAAAAGTGTTAAAACATGCCTTCTCTGATTTGCTAACAATTAATAAAAAAAAGTTACTGCTCGATAATTGTTAAAAATAAAATAGCTTTCGTCCATTCAGAAATATGGAAATATATGGAATACTAAAAGTCCCTCTAGGCATGTACTGTTAAGCCATTTCTTTTACGTTGGAATCTGATTCACCATTCACTTCTAAGTATGGTGGCAAATGCAATGCTGATTTCGTTTGTAAAAATTCCTCAAATTCTCTCCACCTGTCCTTTGGTTTTGTATTAGCTTGATTGATAGCATTTTCCACAAATTGACGATTTGCATCGTTTATTACAGTAATAACCCTGTTTATTGCCGCCCAGTATATTATCCAGTCGGATTGATCACGAGTCTTTAAAGCTGAACACGACTCGTAAATAGGCATACGCCATTTTGATAGCATTATCTACGATACATCAATACTAGGGTATACTCGTCGCATTCGTTTCACCTGACTGCTTTATTGTCACGGGTATCGGCGTGGAATGGCGACCCGTGTTCGTGCTGGTTATCTTGCATTACCCTTGTTTATATTCTATTGCAGTCACGTTTATCTGTGTTGTTTGTATACTACACTGACTTATACAACTATGATTGTAACTTTATTTGGTATCTTACTTTCCTGCATTTGACGAAGTATTACGTTATTATTTTGGCTCCCAAGTCCTGTAAAGCATACGTCCGTCTACACCGGTGTCGACTGATTATACTGAACAGTCTCTAATTCTTTCCCTATTTATAGGGGTCGAATGGGTAGCGAGACTCGGGAACAAAAATGGCGGACACATTTCTTTTACGAATCGTGTTCAGCTTTAAAGCCCGAAGAAGGGGGATAGATATTCCGCTATTGCATTCCTTAGACAATTTCATCATTTATCCATTTTTCTGAATCACCTCGAATTCGTAGTTCTTTTATGACATATGCTTGTCGACAACTGACATGAACAAATAGCGAAAAGATGACCATATACTATCTAATTTAGATAGTGACCTGGTATATTTGTGCTTTTTCTCATGGTAAAAAGGTTAAAAAATAAAAATATTTTTAAAATTCTCCTTAAATTCAAATATGATGCACGTATATATATGTATCATTAATTAGGTATAATTTTAATGATAAAGGTAGCCTAAAAGTGAAGGATTCTATAACTTGCTACGAAAGCCCGGAAGGCTCATTCGAGGTTCGAAATACGAAATTCGAGTTTCGAGATTCAAGATCCAGATTAACCAATCAAAAGCTGGTTCAATATTTTATTACTCACCTTTATTATGATTTAACTATCAAGAAATCGTTTAATATATTTATAACAAATGAGTCATTTGATTAAATTACAATGCAAGAAATAGTGTTATATATATAAGAAGGAAATTTAAATAATCATTGGATTTTTGATCAGCAAGATATACTTCAATTAATATAATGGCTTCTTAAATATTAAATAGAATACAAATATCAGGAGTATATACATTTTTGTATTGTCTACTTTGTTTCCGAGGTTGATGACATATAAATAAAGTTATAAATAAGTGTCAAGTGTCTAAAGATTAACAATAAGTCCTCATCCCTACTCACCCCATCTGCCTATTTTTCCAAACACAATCAAAATGTTACTTGGTAAAACTTTAAAGGCTACGTAGTATTGAAAAACAAAAATCGAGTTCGTTTTCCTGATAGAGGAAAAACATAAAAATCAAGTATTTAATTGCTTACCTTCATCTAAGGCTTTGATTTCTTGAATCAATTAAAAATTATACATACAATAAACATTGTCAATATGAATTAGAATAAATGCATTTATTTTATCTTATATCAATAGTAGATTGAGTCTAAATTAAATGCAGAACTATAGCGTTATGGTTTTAAATTTCAGTCTCTGACAATACTGTTATGACCAAAAACCAAAATATACCCATGAAACCTTATAACGGTACAGTTCGATTCAGCAGTCAAGTCTCACTGCAAAAATGTACATGATATAAATGTATAGCCTTGTAGAGACGATTCATAATACTAGTATTTCATATCTAATTATAATCAAAAACAATGTTTTCCCTCAGCATTGATCTGATTAAAATAAAATAGTCGACCTATTTGTTCCTCAAGTCAACGATAAGACCATAATATTCCATATATACCTATTTACAGTTTTGTTTAATGAGAAAAATAAAATTTTATATGTATTTTCAGAATGTAATCCATATTTTATTTTTATATCGTTTTGATACAAAAACATTTTTTCTTGCATTATCCTTTTAGCAAATGCCCCATTTTTTGTAAATATATTCATCGAATTCTTGAGAGTAAAACATAACAAAGGGGAGTAATCAAATGTTGAACCCGCTTTTGATTGGTTAGTTTGGATCTTGAATTTCAAAACTCGAATTTCGAATCTCGTATTTCGAAACTTGAATCTCGAATGAGCCTTCTGGGCTTTCGTACATTGCTTTCCCCTTCAGAAATATGTCTTATGCCCTTTTAAACTGAAAACCTGGATGGTATGACACACTATATACATTTGCATATATGCATGTGCCCTTTGTTATTTAAATATAATCAAAGTAGACAAAGGGAATTTTTGATTACCAATCAATTTATTTAAGTATGACATTGTAATCAGGTTTGTGTACAGATACTTTCTTTGGAAAAACAAGCATAAATTGAATTTTGCCTTCACAATGTTTTTTTGAGTTCTTCTTCATGTTCTTTAACTCTTCGAAGGGCACGGTGATCTACATTTTCTAGTATTTCTTTTAAGGTCTCATAATTATTCGATGAAAGTGTTCCATCCCTTTCCAATGTATTTAAATCTTCATCAATAGTGGTTGAGTGATACCTTGGTGCCGAGTACTGGATCCTAAAATATTGTTTCCATGTTCTGAAAACATGCCCATTTTCCACAGACATATCGAGATAGTTATTCACCAAATCAGCGATTAAACTTCTATGAAGTTTTTCTGGTATTTGCACCTCTTTGCCATACAGACTTGTTCCTTCGCCTGGAAGAAGAATAAGATAAGTTTACCTTATTATGTTCCTGAAACAAAGTTTGAAAACTATTTTGTCATTTTATTGTTATTAAAACCGGTCAGGGTAGCCTAGTGATAGGGTACTCGCTTCATGAGCGAAAGGCCCGGATTCTATTCTCTTTCGTCGCACCGCATCAAACCTTGGATGTAAATTTCAAGTATCACATCAATTGTATTGCTATACATATATACATTCTATACATGTAGAATTGATTTTCCTTTCTTTTGAGAATTTTTTAACGCACCCAAATCGATAGATCCGGGGCATATATTGTATTTGTCCTGTCTGTTTGCCTGTTTATCTGTGTGTTGTCAACTTTATCCTTCACCAAAACTTTTTAACTCTGAGAGGTAGAATCTTCATATTTGGTATGCATACTACACTAATTAAGTTCTTTCAAATGATTCAATGGTTAATGACCTTGTAACCTTGACTGTGGCCTATCTGCTATTAATAGCTTTTTCGAACTTTTCGAACTATAGGAGATAGAGACTTCATATGTGGCATGAATAATCCACTAATTATGTTCTTTAAATGACACAATGGCCAATGACCTTGTGGCATAGCCTGTGACCTATATGCTAAAAATAGCTTTGATGATCTTTGCTGCCGCTGGGCGCATGGTGTTTCACAAACAAATTTTGTTTTATTTTCTTCCAAGCCACATTTACACGTTTGTTACATGTACCTAGTAAAATTTATGTACTTTATTTGAAACAACTAAGAAATTATTTTTTTTTCAAGGCATGGGAGGCTACTTCTGGAGTTGCAATCGGGTTATTTATAAACATATTGAAAACATGTGAATTTGCAGATTTAAAAAAAATGCATGTGACATGCATGAATTTTACTTTTGTCAATTTTTCCGTTCTTCCGTCTTGCTTTCTCTTTAAGTAACCAGAATAAAACAGATTTCATGGCCTGTAGAATTTAGAACTACTATTTGTTTGTAGCTTTCAATAAATGTTGACAAAGCTTCTGGGGAATTTTCAATTATGTTCACTAAAAAGTTGAATAAGTTTGTAAAACGAAGAGATGTTTTTTTTTCTGAATGATAAGCCTGATACGGAAGCAAATTACTGCCATTTGGACATGATTTTATTTCCCCGATTTTTTAAAACTTAATGTGTAACTTTTACAGTTAAGTATGTAAAAAATTCATTTTGGTCTGTAAATTTACGCTACTATATGTACATTTTACACCTTTATCTGTAATTTTACACTTTTATTCCTGAATTTAAGTTTATTTCTATAACGAGGTACGTTATTTACAAACAAGTTGATGAAAGAGAAATATCAGCAGTCTCGTTTATAGTCATCAATTTGCAAGTTTTATGGTCAATATAATGGCGTTCAGCAAATACAATCTATCATAAAGTCAAATACTGACTGACGTTTTCCATACCACTCAGTAATTGTTAGACCATTACTACACACTAAACTGTTGACGGTTTTTTCCTTTACTTTCTGGTCATGGCAAGGAGCACAAAGCGGGTAAAATCGTTCGGCTGGAAATGCTTAGTCATCCTTGGTACCTGATCCCCTCTCCGATGCTTTAGAGGTCTGTGTTTGCTCTGCTCCTGATTTGTATTGTATAATTGGGCTTCTAAACTTAAATACTGATCGTTATCTTCATTTCTTTTATTATAGCAAGTGACCACAATCTAAATGATGCATGACTGCTGGTCACGCATGACTTTATTAAGGTATCAATGTCTAATTAGTCTAATTAATATCGTATGCCAGGGCGTCAACGAAAGTGAAAACGGAGGATGATTTGCATAAGGGGCAAAGCCTGTTATTTGCCCTTTATGCATAAATTATCCCACGCTTCCCATTACCGTTGATGTCCCTTGCATACTATACTACATGTAACTAAGCAGTGACTTCTTATTTTTTTATTCATTGTGAAATAAAATTGTTAATTTTGATTTTAAAAATGCAGAATGATAACATTAAATTACATGAGGCCTCCCATGTCAGTTTCAATAGTTATTGCACACTGACTTCAAATACAAAGTCAACCGAACGAGAATTACATGCAGAATAGGCCTCCTTCGCTTCTCACCTATCGATTTGTCTTATTTACATTCCGGTAAAATCACAAGAATTCAACTCCACTGACTTTTAAAGAGTTGTCATAGAGAAAAAGTAGAAAGAATGAAAATATTGAGATGTAAATGCATTGATAAAATACATATTCATATTTTTAAAGGTTTATAGGTAGCACTAAAAGTTAATGAAGGTTAACTTACACGTGAGTAAATGTTTAAGATTCGGCAGTTTGTCTTGTGGAAATGACTTCTCAGGATGACAACTGAAGTTAGCAAAAGGTATATCTAAATCTTCTTTCCGATAAATTTTCATTTGTTTGTCTGTGAAAAAACATTTCAGAATCAATCTCACAGTTCTTCACTTATCATCAGAATTATTTTCTTTTACAAAATCCATCATATTACTTACTTGGCTCCTTATGACCAGGATCCCCAAGTTTTCGCTTATTATCTGTAATGAATATTATAGTTAGATACCTTGTTGAGACTTTTTTCAATGTAATAACAACACAAAACACAATGTTTTCAAAATTACAATATTTTTATATTACCATGTTCTGTACATTTCACATCAGTCTGGCAATAATTTACTTTCCATTTTTTGCGGTAATGCACTGATGTACTAATTTTTTTTATTGAATTCCATAAGTTTGAATTAAGTATTCAATGTGTTTTTATGACATTTGAACAACGGCATTTAAACTGAACACAATGTCACTTGATTGATCTTTCCCTCCCGGCATCTGTAGCTATTTAAATTCTTAAAGAAGTTTGTAGAAATAGATCATGTGAAAAGATTACACATTTTATACTTTAAAACATAATACTTGATGGTTTGCAAATTTAGAAGTGTGTTTTAAATTAAAGTTCAAGATTTTCGAAAGATTGATTGTATACTGTTTTAACGTCCCTCTCCAGAATATTTCATATTTCGAAAGAAATGTAAATTATAATTGAAAGGCAATAATGTCAGCTTAACTTGCAGTGTAAAATTTGGCAGAGATTATGGTTTCTTTTCAGGAAGCTCTAAACACTCCACACAAAGTTCTATTTATAGTGTAATTTTATCCAGTTTGAGTGACCTGCTCTTTGAGGTTAGATGGAAAAAATGGTTATTTACAATTAATTACACAATTTGTAATAGAATAGAATATTCTTAGCATTATATAAGACGAAGACAGTGGCGTAGCATCGTTTTTGAAAGTGGGGGAGGGGGGGGGCAGCCAGAGAAAATATTCTTTTACTAACCTGAAAAAGTGGACAAGCATAAAAAAAGGAAGAAGTTGCCCAAAGTCGAAAATCCAATTTCGGGAGGGGGGGGGGGGGGGCTAGGTAAACTTTTTTATCAGTGTAAACTAATTTCAGTACCAATTCTAATACTGCATTTTCGGTACATCACTAAAAGTCTTAAAGTGGGGGGGGGGGGGGCAAGCAGGTTTTCAATTAACATTTCCTATAGTATAAGTAAGGTTGGGGAAAAAAGTGGGGGGGGGGGTTGCTACGCCCTTGGAAGAATAAGTAAAGGAATTTATTTTTTTTTATGTCTATTTTCCCTTTTCAGGTAAACAATAATGACTTTTGCTCGCTAATAGTCCATTGTCTTGGAACATTGCAGAAATAAGGCGGGTATCCTATGTTTGAAATTAAGTCGAAAAAGCACTTTTCAATAGTGTTTAGAGCTTTCTTAAGGTTCAAATGTGTGACCGGTCGGCAGGGGATACTCACTCCTCCGTGGCGCCTGGTCCCACCTCTAATGTTTCGAAGGTCCGTATTAGCTCTGCTCCTGTTTTGTATTGTTTTATGGACTTTGAGATTAAATACCGTTCGTTATCTCCATATCCTTCTTTCAAATGCATTAATAGTCATTTATCCAAGTTAAAGTTATCTTCCGTATCAGAAATAGGACTGAAACCGAAATATTGATACTATTCACTATAGTTGGCATTGTTCTACGTATGAACAAATTCTAAATCATGGTAAATTACTGACAAACAAATTGTTGAAATAAGAATATCAACAGCCTCGTTTATACTAATTCGTCCGTTAGTTCTATGTTTGATACAATGATTTTAGTACAATCTATCATTAAGTCAAATGCTGACTGACGTTGTTAAACCATTATTAATACACCGAATTGCCGACGGATTTTCCCATTATTTCCCGATCATGACCATAGCACCTGATCCCTTCTCTGATGTTTTAGAGGTCCTGTTTGCGATGCTCTAGATTGTATTGTTTAAATAGACTTTTAAGTTTAAATACCAGAAGTCTCTGATGAGACTGTAGCTCTACTGGTCTGTACGTATAACAAAGGAAAAGTAGCAATTGGATTTGAAACTTTGCAACAAGCAGCAATAAATAGGATAATGTGTAGTCTACATGTGTGCCAATTTATATTAAAATCAGAAAGTTATATTGAAATCAGACCCAAAGTGTAGGAGTAGTGTTTTGAAAGTATTTCAGAGAAATTTCTATTTGTAGTAACCATGGCAACACCGTTCATATAAATCAAAAACCGATGCACTAAATCATGCATCTTAGTGTAGTCTACTTGTATGCCAAGGTAAATTCAAATCGAACCAAAACCGTGAAATTATTTTTTTAAAAGAATTTTACAGAAATTTCTATTTTTAGTAACCATGGCAACACCGTTCATCGAAATCCAAAACTGATGCAGAAGTTCATGTATCTAAGTGTAGTCTACTTGTGTGCCAAGCTGTATTAAAATCCGACCAAAACTGTAGGAGGAGTTTAGCATTTTTGAAAAAAATCGTTTACAGACAGACGGACAGACAGATTGACGGACAGACAGACGGACGGACGATGGACGCATAACTATCGCATAAGCTCTTCTTGTCTCTGACCAGTAGAGCTAAAAATGAATCATGACACAAGTATCGCGTCTTGAATAGGACGTATCATTTCAGCCCTATTATCAAAAGGTCAGTGAACCTTAAAGACCAAATAAATAAACAACTAAATAAATAAATAAAATATGTGTAGGTGATATACCAAGTATGACTTTAGAGGTTTCCCCTATGAAATTAGTCACTCTTATTTGAAACAGTTGATCCGGTTTATGCTTATATCCATGAACAATCAGAACTGGGTGTGGTAAGGACACCGTAGATCCTATATAAGTTGATATGTGAACGTCTATTGGTTGAAAATCATCGTCAGGCGTTTTCTTAACTCTCCATTCAGCTGTTAAGGCCTCCGGAAAGGATTCAATTGCAACCTTGCAAGTTATTGTATCAGTTTCATCATCCCTCTCAAAACTTCTGGTCTGAACCGTAGGATTGTCTTTAACAATAAAGATTTTTAATGTCTTTCTGAGCAGAACAGAAAGGAATTAAAAATAACCTTTGCAACATTTTTCACTTTATGAAGCATTTTTATTTTTAAGTTATATCTTAGCATTTTTCATATTTACCTTAAAAACATTGTACATGCACCTCGGCTGTACAACAATCTATGAAATAATATTATATAACTTTCATACCTAGATAAATGGGATTACTTAACATAGATCCTACAGCATTTGTAACACAGCATTGATATACCCCAGCGTCGTAAACATTAACGTTGTGGATGACTAGTGAAGGATCAGCAATACTTCCTCCATCATATTTTCCTCCACTACCTGAAATATCGAGGTTCTGTTTGTCCTTTGTCCAGACAATCTTTGTTACCTCTGGAGAACCTTCCGTGAGGTAGACTTTGCATAAAAATGTAACATCCTGATTCAGAATATTAGTTTCAAGGCTTGTGAACACAGAAGGAGGATCTGTAACGGAAATACAGAACAAGAAGCTTTTTGAGAATTACATTGGGTTTTTTTGGACACATTAAAAAATTTTTGTCATAGAAAGCGTGTCCAAAATTATTTTTAAAACGGTATTATAAGATAAAAAAAACTGTCTATAAAAGTAAAATTAGGGTTTAAAAATATTCAGGATCCCTAGGGCAAAAATAGATCTTAAAATCAACTTAAAATCGTCTGTTTAGAGTGATAATGTCTGTAGGGATATATTTTTATACTTACCACCAACTAATTTTAACCAAACCGCATTGCTTGTAGATTTACCGATCCCATTTGTGACTTCTAGTCGATAGTACAATTTGTCTGCATTGGATGTTTTTCTTATTCGGAGAAAAGGTTTCTCTGGATCCAAACTGCTTCCAAAATATCGGGCGTCATCGATGTCAATGGTCATAAAATTATCAAGATTTTGATCTGTGCTTTTTTGCCAAATTGCTTTCTCCGGAGAAGGACATGACTGTATGACAGGGTCAAAAGTAACTTGACAACCCAGTGGAAACGTCAGTTCTTTACAAATTTCTATACATGGGACAGCTAGAAAGAAAATGTAGAAAAGTGCATAACTTCGCATAAGGGCTTACATAAGGAAGCCCTTTTTCATTTTCATCTCTTAAAATTAAAACTTCATGATATCAAAAATGAAAAGAAGATACAAAAGAACTAACAATCGATAGATAATTTTTATTGTGTAAACCGTATCCTGAAAATAATATGATTGAGTTATAGATTATATTTTACAAATATATATATGTGTACAAATAGTAAAAAGAATGAACAAATTGTAACGAGTATTTACAATACCTAGAACTATGTACTTCACGCTTGATCCAACAGCATTGAATACTCTACATGTGTATTCACCGCTGTCGTTCTCCGATGAAGAAAGGATTTTCAGATAATGATCTTTGATTCCACCACCGTTATACTTTTTTGCATTCATCGCCAAAAGTTCTCCATCTTTGGTCCACTCAATTTTCTCTATTACAGGAGATGTCTTTTCCACAAAACAATCATACAGAATAGTAACTCCATCAAATCCAGAGGTTGCCTGGGTAATTTCTAGAGTTGGAGGATCTGTAAATATAGCTCTTTGTAATGTAATTTCTTTTACATGGCGTCAGAAACACAGAAATAAAAGAATAAAAGAAAGCATCAAGCTGATTTCAATATTTAGCTTATTACATATTATTTTAGTACTTAGTATTTCAAGTTAGCTAAACATGTGAGAGTCTTAAATACGTCCAAGAGGTCCATACAAATCAGATTTAACATGACACATGTGTTTTATATGCGTTGTAGAATATAATATCGAAACTTCTGAATTGTCTTAAGGTAAGATTATATAATCTGAAACTGATAAAATGTTCGCCAAAAATGGATGGGCAGAGCCCGATTTCATTTACTGATTCAAATTATACGATGCATAATCGATATTATATTTTTTCATGTGTGATAGATAAATAGAGGTATTGAGTGCTTATAATCTATCCTTCCTGTTTTGATACCAAATCATTCGTAAAATGTCATTTTTCTGTGTGCTGAATAGGTGATAAAGTATTCTGCTACATACCTCCTAAAGCATGTAGAAAGAATTTATTACTTGGCACATTAATATGACATCCATCTATCTCTCGTGATATCACGGCACGATATTCTCCCTCATCTTTTTTTACAACTCTCTTTATGACCAGCCGTTTTATGGAACTGCCCCTGTACTTTTCTGTACTAGTGTCAATGATTTCTGTTTTACTCCCACTTACTCTCTCCCAAGTAAGCGGCCAATTAATATTGTCCGGACATCTTTCTGTCTCAGCCTGAATGCAAGCCTCTTCTCCACAGACAATTTTGCTTTTTCCATTTACTGTTACCACTGGAACCTCTAAACATAAAAAAATTTAATATGAGCAATTGTTATGTATAAAGACAAAAACTTGTTTCATTCTACATCACTAACCTCTTTTTTCTTTCCATAGAATCAATATTCCTTCGAGAAATTGTTTGTATTTTTCCATATCTTCTCGACCAAAATCAGATTTTTCAGTAATTGCGAGTCTTTCCTCATAGTTTACACTGTATCCAAGTGACGCCATGAAAACCTGAGCCCTCTGTATGATTCCTTTTAATTCCTTCCAGCATGATAAGAATTTGGCATCAGGAATCTCTGAAGATTCTAAATGGGCAAACATTTCGTTTCGGACAAGTCTGAGTCGCTCAATGTCATCTCCAATTTGCAGATCATTTATACCCGGTGTACTTCCCCATCCGTTTGTTGGTTTAAGGTTAGGACATAGATTACGTATCAGTTTATAGAGCAACGAAACATCAAACATATCATAATCAGGAATCTGTGGTGGAGGAACTCTGCAAATTCTTAGCTGATCTGATCTCAGTTTCTGATTCCCCATTGTTAGCTTTGGACATGAATTGATAGCGTTTTCGAGATCTGTAGGCTTGATCTGACTTTTAAGAATATCTTTAAACACAAATTTTATATCGTCCACGCAGGCTATTCCTAGCCGTGTAAAATTCTGTTGATATCTTGACAAAAGTGTTGAGGCCATAGTTATATTACATCTCTAGAACACTGTGCCTTAAATAAGACATATAGCATAAATAAGATTATTATCATCTTGCATCAAACAAACATATTGCTTAAACGCTGTTACAACACATCATATTAATCGGGATTTTTACTTTACATTTTAATATTTTTTTTGAAATAAATGCAAAATGTAATGCTAGTAATGCAAAATGTAAAATGTAAGTTCTGTATTATAATATTTTTGCGTAAATCTCGAAACAAAATATACTGAAAGGAAAAAGAAACGCAGGGTAGCATAATATTCGAAAATTCTTTGACCGTATGACCGAAAATTACTAAAATTCGCCAGATTTGAAATTAAGTTACTATGCACCAAAATGGTCAGAATTACTCAACCGTAAAATGTGTGACGTCACGTAGGGAAAACGCTAAAAAGCCCAAAACACGTACAATTTGATGGCGACAAATTTGTCAACAAATCTTGTGCACTATTTGATGCACCTGAGGTATACACATTGTTTTTCAATATTTAGAGACGATATGAAGATCTTGTAATCTTGGTACAGTTTACTGAAGTTCCATGGGGTCTGGTTTTAGAATTGCCTAATTGATGAAAAAGGCAACAACGGTAACTAAGCAGTTTCTTGTAAATTTTTCCCCATATAACTTGTTACTTGTTGTCAAAGAAGGCCTGGAATGGTTTTTAATCAACCGTGACGATGGCGTTAATGCGAAACAGAGTCATGTTACGAGCGGGTTATTCTTCCTCCCATCTCTTAAATCGCCACCTTACTACTACAAAACCGCCTTTTATACAGTAGACTATCAAAGTCATTAAATTCACACGAAAAATGAAAGAAAACAATTCTGCAATTTGGTTTTTTGAGCCGGTCAACTTTCTATTGTGTTCCTCTCACTGGCGCATGCGCGCGTCGTATGACGAATTTATTGGCGTGGTTACCCATGCCCAATTTTGCCAGAGTTTGAACGATAAACACTGATGAAAGCCATGCAAAGGAGAAGTAAGGCTCATGACAGATGCGCGGGAGAGACATTGAAGATAAAGAGAGTTTTCGATTTTAACTTTTGGGGGATATCGTCATATTAGCTTCAATAACTCATGAATTCTTAGAAAAATTCAAGTGAGATTTTGGTTACATCTTTTTGAAAGATGATTTAAAAGTCAGTTAGGAATACTGAAAATAAAATTGAAAGAAAAATTAATTTAATTCACCTCAAAAGTTTACCCTGCGTTTCCTTTTCCTTTCAGTATATAATAATGCGAAATGTTACATTCCTGTTTTATTATTATTTTTTATTATTATTACATTTCGCGTTGTAACAAAGCGCCATATGTCTGACAAATATATTGTGTTAGCACATACTTATATTTCATTTTAGCTTTATTGTACTTTAAAATTTTAAAGGTCAATTTTATGTAGAATTGATGACTGCAATTTAAAAGGCCGATTAAAAAAAATCTTAAGGACGTTCGATCCTGATATTTAAATTCTTAAGCTTTTTTGCCAAGTATATATATTTTAAGTTTCTACATACATAGCTTAATTAAAAATCAAATAAAAAAATGGGGGTCAGTATGCTTCTTTTGGCGCTACAATACATTTAATATGACCTTCTTGCACTGAATTTGTGTCTTAATTAAAAATTACATCTTAGACGTTTTCCCTGCAATATCTTTATCCAATTTAAGCAAAAAACAAAATGAACTCCAAGCCTGTTTAAAAAAAGACACTTTAAAATTGTAACTAAGAAAAAGTTTCAAATTACTTCGCATAATCAATTATTTGACATTTCTGCACTAATAAAATGTGATTTTTCTTGCATTGAAAATTTTATAAGCAAGAAAATTATTTTAAAGTCTTAAACTTTTTCTGAATTTAAGCAAATAGGTCAAAGTTACCTTCAATTTTTAGAAAAAAAAACATCAAAGGTGGGGGGATATGATGTTAATTTTCAGATATTACTAAAAAAGTGTCCATTTTACGTTAAATTTGGCTCAAATTTTCCGAGTTTTCAGAATATTTTTACTATATTTGTCATACTTTGTTGCTAGAATTCATAAGAAATAATTTAATAGTTATTTCAGAACCAGTATGACACATTTTACTGCAAAAAACAGCTTTATGTGCAACCAGCATGGAAAAATAGGAATCCAAAATAACGGAAAAACTGATGATTTTCGTCTCAAAAACCCTCCGCCACAAAACATAGTCCCTAGTTTAATTCTACTTGAATGGAATTTAATCGCGGATTATATCATATAATATAGTTCAATTTGCATTGTAAAATTCAGATTTAATGTTAGAATTAAAAAATGATGCAGAATTTTATAAATAAAGGACATGACCAAAATCCACTCAAAAACTCAGGATCGAACTCCCTTAAACCCTTTCCCGATACAGGCCTTGCTCTCACTGATTTTAGAGAGATCATGAATATATTTTCAAATGCTGAACAAAATACCAATATTTTTCGATATAGTAGAAATCAAATGAATTGAAAGTATTCTTCCTTGTTAATTTTACTTTACGAGAACTACTATACTATAAATATCATTTATCTAATATCACTCTTTGATTGATTGATTGATTGTATATTGTTTAACGTTCCTCTCGAGAATTTTTCACTCGTATGGAGACGCATATCACTCTTTGAAGCACAATATGGCGTTTCTTTTGTATAACATCTATAAAGATCTACAGTACATTCAAAACTTAAGATCCAAATATTTTGTGACACAAGGACATTTTTAATATTCACCTATTAAAGTTCAATTCCAAGCTATAGCGCATGGATAGCCCCGAAAACGTCACATGCAAAGCCTTTTTGTCTTTTTCTTTTTAAATTTTGCATTAACTCAGCAATGTGAAAATTATGACTGCACTTCCTGCCAGATCATTGTTTTTTCCCGTGATTGGAAATACATAATAATTGATGGTTAATGATTTTTCTTATGCCAGCATTAAGGTATATTGCTGCATAAGTATTCAATTTCTGAGTAAATATTAATTTGTAGTTAAAATGGCATAACACATGTTACAATATTTTGCATGTATTAGGACCTGAAGCACCATTGGTAGGTGTCATCCAGTGCATGTACTTGGGGCCTAGTGTTAATTGAATACTTATGCAGCAAGTTGCTAAAGATTGTTGAGGATTGGAAGTATGCCCTTGATCATAAAAAAATATACAGCAGCAATTATGATGGATTTATCTAAAGCATTTGATTGTATTCCGCATGATCTAGTTTTAGCAAAACTTAATGCATACGGTTTTACAAATGCAGCTACTAGTCTTATCTCTAGCTATTTAAGCAATCGAAAACAGTGTGTAAAACTGGGTGAAGTTTGTAGCGATTTTTTAGAATTGTACAAAGGTGTTCCACAGGGTTCAATTCTTGGTCCTGGTATTTTTAATATTTTTATCAATGATATTTTTCATTTTGTGTCAGATTGTGATCTCTACAACTATGCCGATGACAATACTCTTTCAAACTCAAGTGACGATATTACATCACTAAAAAACACTTTAGAATCAAATTGTTCGAACTTAGTTAAGTGGTTTGGAGATAATCAAATGCAAGCAAATCCTGATAAATTTCAAGCTATATGTCACGGAAAGAAAACTAAACAGGAAAACATTTGTTTTGAAATTGATGGTAATGTGATTCATCCAGAAAACGAAGTAAAATTACTTGGTGTTACAATAGATTTTGAGCTTAAGTTTAGCTCTCATATTTCAAACATTTGTAAGAAAGCTTCACAACAATTAAATGTACTTAAAAGAATAGGGGTACACCTGACCAAATTAGGAAAACTTACCATTTATCATACATTTATCATGTCAAACTTCAACTATTGTCCATTAGTTTGGCATTTTTGTGGTGAACGAGAGACAAGAAAAATGGAAAAAATACAGGAAAGAGCATTGCGGTTTGTTTATGATGACTACAAAAATTCATATAGTTATCTTTTGGACAAATCAAAATTACCATGCCTGAAACTCAGGCGTATTAGAACAATGGCCATAGAATGTTTTAAGATTTTAAACAAGCAAAGCCCGTCTTACCTGCATGATTTTATTCATATTAAAGAAACACCTTATTCTTTTAGATACACGAAAACTGCTGTTTTACCAAAAACAAGATCAACAACGTATGGGTTGAAGTCTTTTAGATACGAGTCTGCAAAACTTTGGAATTCTTTACCAGAATCTTTTAGAAATATTACTACTTTTAACCAGTTTAAATCCAACATAAATAGTTGGTACGGAAATTGTTGTAATTGCTGTGCCTGTCGTTAATTTTATTTTTAGAAACTAGTAATCAGGGTTTAAGTTATTTTTCGGTTTGTCAGTTTTAATGTGGTGAATACTATGGCATTGTAAAGCACCACGGTGAAATAGTGATATTTTAGTAGTGTGATGTAATTTTTAAAAAAAAACTGTTTCTTGTTTATTTTGTATGATTGTTGTATTTTATGTAACATTATTATTTAGTCGGAAAATAGCTCTTCAGAGCTAATGTTCTTTGTTGATGTACCCGACTTTAAATAAATATTATCTTATCTTATCTTATCTAGCAATATGCCTTCATCACCTGCATTAGGAGTTTATAGTTCTCAGTTGATTCTACACACCAGAGCATGCTCTACGTATGAACTAGTTCTAAATTATTTAAATCAGGTTGATAAAACAAAAAATATATTAGCAGTCTCTCTTGCCCAACTCACATGTAGGCGACTTAAAACGGGGCGATTAAAAAATGCATATAATTTCTTAAATAAAATTAAGACTTGGCAAATTTAAAACAGGGCAACATTGTTTGCAAGTGTAAAAGGGCGAAAATAACGCGGGCCAGAAATAACATTGAATACAGTTTGTCAATTTCTTAATGAGCTAAATATATGTTAAATTGCATATAATGTTCCCAGAAAATATTGAGATTTTTTCATGATTTTTTTCTTCAAAATAATAAGATTTTTTCTCAGTTTAATTTATTTTAATGTATATGTAGTTTTCATGGATAACATATCATTTTCTTTGTATAATTTTGGTCGATTGCTAATGGAGTGTTTTTGAAGCAAAACATATTATAGATTACTATAATAATTAAAATTGCGAAACTAGCAATACTTCTTATAAAAAGACGAAATATTTCACTGTCACTATTGATTAACCTAGGATAAAATATTGAAAAATAAAAAGGAACTTAGCAAGGATAAAGAGCTTGGATTGAAACCCATTTTTCTAAATTAAGTGTTGTTTTTAATGACCAAATATCCCAGCCTATTTTTTTTTTATATGAAACTGTTTCTTTGCTAGGCCTATAAACTCTCTTCCTTAACTTAATTCCTCTTTCTGTTTAATTTATTGCACTAAACAACATATAGTTGATGATTAAAATAACCTCTGTTTCAGAAATGTTGACAGATTTAACAACCCCCCCCCCAATCTATAGATTGAAAAAGCTCTCTGTTTTTGAAAGCAGAAATTTTGAATTTTGAGATAACATTAGGAAGTACTGAGTATGGCCATAAAGTAAAATAGTTATATCAAATCATATGGTACGGAAATAACAAACAGTATTCAAGCTCAAAAGTCTATTCAAACAAAACAAATCAGGAGTAGAGCATACACGGACCTCCAAAATATCAGAAAAGGGGGGGGGGTCAGCTGAAATTAAAAAAAAAAATTAAGAAATAAAAAAATCTTTTAAAATAATTTCTTGCAACACTATATTTCTTCTTCCAGATAGTTATTTAAAGCAATACTTTCAGTCTTCTTTCAGTAATGATAATTGTAGTCCATTTATAAATAAAATATATTCAAATCTATTTCCTAGCTTCCTAAAAGAAGAATATACTGTGTGATAAAGATGGATTACAAAACCATTTTTCTTTATAGAAGTTGATGTATATTATTTTCTGAGCTACGTCAATGCAGAATATCTATAACAGATGTATTTTTTGGTGAATTTAATTCCTACTTGTAAATCTTAGACGTTTTGCCGGGTATATATACCATACAAAATTTCTCATATACCTCTATTACAAGGTGCATAACTCTTCATTTTTCATCTGAAATAGACTTTAAAGTCCTGGGGGATGGTCGGATAGTGTATGCTAGAGATATCCTGGAAAAAATCAGTAGAAAAATACTTAAACGTTTACTGAGTAGAAAAGATAACAAGAACTCAATTTTTGTAATACAGGGGACATAAAAATGCAGTAAATTGAGCAACCCCACAAGATGTAGAATAGCAATTTTGAAAAACAAAATAGCCCTTTTCTTACCCGCCTACGAACACGCATTGTAATTCTACTTTGATATTCTTTCTTCATATGAGAATCTAGAACAAATATCCATTCTTACAAATGAGTTGTAGAATAATGTCAAACAATAAATCGAAAGTAGAAAACCCCGTTTCTAAATAAAGTTTCCTCGTCGTTTTTCATGTTTTATGCATAAATTTACCTGACTTTACAAACAGCCTGAAATTTAAACTTCCAAAAATTAGGTCGAAGTCAATAGCTCTGCATTGCCTCTCAAAAGTTTGTGTATTTTATTCTCAACACTCTGTTTTAAATCACTACTGTTTGCATGAAATGTGGCACTTTACGAACATATTTAAATGCTGATTGTCCGTTCTTAGACGTCTTTTCATCGTTTAATCAGGTTATCCATATATCATTTGAGACATAATGGCGATTCCTTGTAAGAACAAACTTCTAATTTGGTCTCGTCAGCCCAAAAATAATTTTAAGCAGGAAATATTTATCCAGAAATCTTTTTTGCGCATTCGCAATACCCACTTCCATCACAATCGGCAATTCACGGCTGCCTCCGCTACGCTCCATATTCAAACCTCGGATGTTTGGTGGAGGAATACATATCAGATCGAAATTATTCAAAAAGGTTTCTTAATTTGTCTATTTTTTCATACCAAATAGGTTTTGGTTACAACCTTATGTTAGTAGGCTTTGAAAGCAAGACAAAATATTGGGAGTTACTCAGATGAAACATATGGAGATAACGAACAGTTTTCAAAGTTAAACTGAAGTCTGTAAAATAATACAAAATATGAGAAGGCAAATACGGACCTATAATAAAAATAATAAAAAAAGTTAATTAAACTTTATAAATTATTAAAGTAATTTCAAAAACTTTTAAACTTTGATTTACTATAGTAAAAACTTTGGAACTTTGAATAACTGTGGTAAAAACTTTGGAACTTTGATTTACTATGGTGAAAACTTTGGGACTTTAGTTTACAAAAGTAATTGTTGGTAGGGGTAAGTACTCCCTGCTGTCCGGTAACAACCACCATGTGCTCCTTGTCATGATCGGTAAATAGCGAAAGAATCCGTCGTCAATTCAGTGTATAAATAATGGACTATAACAATTAGTATGAAAAACGTCAGTCAGCATTTGACGCAATGATAAATTGCATTTGCTGACAAGGTCATTGTATCGACCGTAGAACTTACGAAATGATGACTTTTAACGAGACTGCTGATATTCCTGTTTCATCAATTTGTTTGTAAATTATAAACCTAGTTTTAAAAATTGTTCATACGTAGAAAATACTCTGGCGTATCTATCAAGTTAGCTGATCAAATGCACGAGCTTGCAAGTGCATTTGAACAGCCAACGAGTGCCAATATTCACCAATATAAGTTCAATAATTTCGTTATTCTATAGCTAAACATTTCCACATAATTTACAATAATTATTCCAACTTAAAAAAAAGGTCGAATTATGATTTTCTAGTATCGGTATTCAAATTAAAGTCATCTGTAAGCGTTCAATATCCCATCATTCCGATGACCCTACCGAGCGATATGATTTGCTTATTTAGGTTTTAGTATGTCTAATACGTACTAAATTTTTAATAAATACTGTCATTTTGTGTGAAAAATAAACACATCTTACCTAGATGCCACTTCATTTCTTTGATATTGAAAGGTGATGTTTGTTAAATTGGTTTTGTTACAAATGATTTTCATTGGTCAAGTTTTAGTCTGTATATAATTCAAAACGAGCGAGATATTCAACGCAAACTGGGCTCCTATTTGAGTACATGTTAGGGGACAACAATTTAGGTCTTTAAGCCCCTCCTAGGGGAGTAGGAGTAACAAATTTTGTCGAAGTAGATAATTTATGTTCATGATAATGCAGCAGAAAAAAAGGTGAATAAGAAAAGAATATACCCAAAGCCAACAAGTCCGTTTCCTGGGGGAAAATGAAGTTGAAGGGTGGATGTAAGGTAGATCCAGTCAGTATCAAATTATTATTTTCTTCCAAATTAACATATTTCAGGACAGCTTATTCATTTTCCATCTACCAGCGCTCCTTTTTCAAAGAAAAATCGCCTTCTTCTAACATGTAGGGAACCAAGTTTGCGCTGACTACCCGGAACAGGTCCGTCGTTTTCAACACTATATACATGGCTAACTTGACCGATGAAGGATATGGAGATAACGAGCAGTATTCAATATCAAAGTCCATAGAACAATATAAAATGGGAGCAGAGCAAACACCGACCTCAAAATTATCAGGAATGGGATTAGGTGCCATGGAGGAGTGAGTAACCCTACCGACCGGTCAAACCGGACATAAATTACTGTAAACGTATTATATTTAGCGTGTACGATATTTGGCGGAAATTGACTTTTTAAAAAGTTAGCGTAGATTTGATTTAGCTCATTTCTTCATTTTCTTATTTAAGTTTATATGTGAAAGACATTTAGCGTTGTACTTGATTTAGCGGTTACTGCGTTCCCCAAAAGCCGCTAAAAACAGCCAAATGCAATACGTTTATAGTACATTGTAACGAAAAAATAAACAATCCTAGGATACAATTAAAATAAAAATTAAGGTACTCAAATAAGAATTTTTACAATACAAATAAGAAATACTGTAGAAGCACATATTTTCGTGCGGATCAAATTTCGTTGATTAGTCATCTGAAATAGGTTCGTGGGCATTTAATCTCGTTATTTTGAAAGTACCCTTATTAAATATATAGTCATACAAAAAAATTGAGTCTGATATAACTTCGTTGATAATTGTAAACAGCGAAATAAAATCTCCCGCGAATATTTACGTACAACGCATATAGAAAATATAAAACAAAAATTCAAAAAAATTATACACTGAAATGTAAAGAGGCAGATAGTATTCAAGCTCATAATTCCATGAAACAATACAAATGAGAAGCAGAGCAAACAGACTTTAAAACATCAGATCAAATGTAAAACCCCTGTCACACCGGGGCTGCGTCCTCACGGCGACTGCACGGCGTCCTCAAAAAATGCAAAACGCCGAGGTGATCGCAGTAGAGGCTCCTACAGCGCCGTGACAACGCGGCGAGGTCTCCACTGAACGCCGTAGGGTCGCGGAGGGTCTCCAAGAACGCCAGGGGACGGCGATCACTTTGGGCATGCACAAAGTACGCGCCGTGTGATCGCGGTCTGACAAGAACGCAGTGGAAACGTAGTATGATCGCCGTAGCAGCGCGGTGAGATCTCCAACAACGTAGTGGGAGCTCCGTATAAACGCCGTGAAGACGCACATGATCGCGACACGAACGCAGTGATAGCAGACTGCGCTTCCAAGGAGACCTCACGGAGATGTCGCGGAGTCCTTGGAGATGTCACTGCGTTTCTATCGCGTTATTCCGACGCTTCTAATGAGATTTATCGTCTTGTGATTTTTCGACTGCGATTACACGGCGACAGCACAGAGTTGTCACTGCGATCATTGCGCTCCCACGGCGTTTCTACAGCGTCCGTTGGCGATCACAATGCGCTTTCACGGCGTTGTTAGAACGTTGTCAACCAGCTCACAAAACAAGAGCAATGGGATCATACTTGATCAGCAATGATTCCAACGTATTTGTTGCACTAGGAGCATTTAAATGAAAAAAATTGAAGAGAAAATTACACAAGAACTTGTTCTGTTGTTTCACTTAAATTTTGTAGAAAACTTTTCGGTGTATTTACTTTTTTTTACATTCATAATAAAATAAAGAAAATCTAACAACACAACTGAACCGATGAAATTGAAATATAGGAGTTTAATCTTAAAACAATTAAAATTTTAGTACTAAATTATTTAAATTTAAAACATTTTTAATTATTAAGAATATTTCTTGGCATGATTAGAAGTCTTTCCATCGTGTAACTTGAATCTTTAAACAAAAATGTTTTACATTCCTTCTGAATATATATCAATGAGTATAGATCGCATTGTGAACGTATTGTGAACGCAGCCAGCGCAGTGAGAACGCCGTGAACACGAGGTGAAAACTCCTAACGCGCCGTGAAAACTCCGCGGAAGCGCAGTCAATCGCCGAGAGATCTCCGTGGGAACGCAGTAGAACGCCGTGAGATCGCCGTAGAATCGCGTCCGTCGCCGTAGGGACGCCATGACATCTTCATATTGTGAAAATTTTACAGAAATTTGTGCAATTTTCCTGCGATTCCACGGCGATTTTAAAAATTTAACAACGCCGTAATGACTCCGTGTGAACGCAGTTGGTGTGACAGGGCCTTAACAGAAGACTGAACATCCCCTGCCCATCGTAAAATTTGCCATGTGCTTCTTGTTATGATCGGGAAATAACCTGAAAATCCGTCAACAATTTAGTGTGTATATAATGGCCTTACTATTACCATGATAAATGTCAGTCAGTATTTCACTAAATGAAAAATTGTATTTGAAAGATCATTACAAAGATTATTGTATTGACCGTTATACTTACGAAATTATAACTTCTAACGAGACTGTTGAAAGTTCTTGTTTCATCAACTTGTTTTTCAATAATTTTACTGTTTTTAGAAAATGTTTATACAAAAAGAATGCTCTTGCGTATCGATTCAACTGAGAAATATAATAAACCCCGTGTGCAGGTGATGAAGGTATATTGCTGCATAAGTAAGGGAGGTTGACGATTGAAAAGTTAATGCTTATCATAATGCTGGAAAGTATTTTATCATGTCTCAAAATATTTTGATATAACCAACTTTATATGCCATAAAAATCATCCATAAAATTTTTTTAGCTGGAAAATATTTTGGTGTTTCAACATTCAAAGTTTAAATTTCACAATATGCATATTTTGATTGCCGATGTTGTGCGCCATTGCTCTGACGTCATAAGTGTCAGTCCTGGTCAAGCGAAGTACTTATTGTGTTTACAAAAAGCATCAATGGCTTCGTCTATTAAACCTGCTAGAAATCAAATAAATGATAATTGGATAATTCAATTATAGTTAGATAAAATGTGTGGGTTTTGGTTGAAAAATGTGCACAGGAATAAAAGTTTTTAGGAAGGATTTTTTTTTACATGCAAGGGACTTGATCGGCGCGAGGATTTGTCTCCATTCAGAAGTTCAGAGCAATTGTTTATGTACGATCATGATTGTTTTCTTTTTAGATTAACAATAAGTTGCCCAGTCTAGTTGAAGACCACAGTTAGTCCATTGTCTATACACTGAATTGAAGACGGATTTTCCCGTTATTTCCTGATCATGACAAGAAGCGGGTGTGACCAGTCGGCAGGGGATGCGAACCTCTGATATTTTGGAGGCCGTGAACCAGATTATATCGAAAATTTGGACCCCGTGGGGATCCGGGTTAGAATAAATTCTCAGTACCCCCTTGCTTGTCATAAAAGGCGACTAAATGGGGCGGTCCTTCGGATGAGACCGTATAAACCGAGCCCCCTGTCAGAGCAGGTGTGGCACGATAAAGATCCCTCCCTG